GCTGCTAAGAACATGTGTTAAGATGTACAGTACTTCCTGAGATTAAAACCCCCCTGCACCTTCCCTTGCTCTAAGTGCAGTGCACAGCTTTGCTCTAAGCCTGTGCCTCAGATGAGGAGGGCTGCTCTAAAAGACTGCAAAGCTTGGGAGGGAGGTTTGGGGAGAGGCATTCAGAAATAAAGAGGAATGCTGTTTCTTTACCAATGTTCCTTATCCTTAATACCCATCACAGTTCCCCCAGAATGGGAGGTGTAGCCTGGAATGATCTATCTCAGTACTGGTGGTCTCAGAACCCATCATCATCATCATCATCATCATCATCATCAATTATCATCATCATTTCCTGCTAAAAAGACATCCAGCAACTTCAGTGACTTCAAATGGAGAATATGCCAGTGGCTCTAACAGCAAGATTGGAGTCTTATTTTATTTTATTGTATTTTATTGTATTTTATTTATTTTATTTTTATTTTTTTACCCAGTATACAGAGTTTATTTGGTGTCTGACTTTAATAATATTTTTTTGTTTTGCTGTCACACATGTCTGCAAATGTTTGTTAATCATCCTATCGTTTTCTTTCAGTATATGTTCACAGAGCAACAAGGGGCATAAATGGAGTTAATTAGTATGAAAATGTATGGGCAGCTTGTTTTTAAAATCATTTTAAAAGCTGATTGCTGTTCATCATCTTCCCCTCCTACCATATGTAATCTCGATTCCTCTGTAGTTCTGTTTATGACTGTCCAAAGCAAGATGATTTTCTTATACTTTTCATAATAAATGATCACATAGAGTGTCAACCAAAAGGTTTATTTGTTTAATTAGGGTTCTCTTCTTCTTTTAATAGGTGTGCACAACTCCCATTAATGTTAATGTGAATTACGAAAGAGCAGGATGGAAAATAGACCTCTTTATCTCATTCTTTTTCCTGGATAATAAAGTTTAGATTTGTTAACAGATCAGAACAAAAGTCCAGTGGAAAAAAAAAAAGTCAGCTTAACTTTTAAAGAAATTGATATGCTAAAAAGAACTTTCACAGGCTTTAAGGTGGAAGATACATATTAATAAATAAACTTCATTAGCATTTAAGGTGAAATATAATCATTTAAAACGCTGAATTAATACAATGCAAAGGATTTCCTAATGGACCTATTTGCATACTCACATTAAATAACTAATAAAACATATTCTGAGATGTAAGACATAGCATTTTGCACAAATCAACAGGATTGCTGGCTGATGGAAGGGAGGGGATGGCAAGAGAGTGGGATCTCGGATGCCACAGGATTCCTGGCAGTGCCTCCGACAGAATCAGGAACATCAGGATGAGCTGGTGACTTAGATGGGTGGATGACAAATTAGACTTTAGCTATGTTGAAGCTGAGGCTGAGGCAAAGCCACCATGCATAAATGATCAGCAGTTAGCTGGGAAGCAAGATTGGAATGTCTCCAAAATCCTGTTAGATATTATTTAGCATGATTGAGATAAGAGTCCTAGATGTGCAGTCCAATACAATTTGTGTATCCCTTATCCATTTTTCGATTTGTGTATCTCTATCTGTCTGTAATTGTTCTGGAAAGTATTTTTCTTATATGGTTATTATGCCAAAGATTCAAGTCTTATCCCTTAATTATGAACCGTCTCATATTATTAAATTGTTGTTTCATAGGTTGACTTAAGACAGGAAAATCCAACGAATAGCAAACATAAAAAAATATGGGTTCTACAGGGTGTATGAAAGTATATACAGAATTATGGCTGGTGTCAATTCATTTTTAGATACTAATACAATAGCAGCAATGATTAAAAGGCATCTTGGTATTATTATCAGTTCAAAATCTGGCTTTCGGCAGGCAGATTCACTTCTCAATGTCACTTTCTTTATTATCTGCAAAGTAAAGCTACTATTTGCCACCCTCATCTCCCATGCATCTTAAAGATGGATGCTAGAAAATTACATTGAAGTTCTCAGATAAAAGGTGCTAAACAAAGAACTAATTTCATTTTTCCCTCAAGCAAATTATTAAATCTATACATGTCATTATCTAATAATATTAAGTAAACATTGCACAAGGACATGACATTGTGCTGGACATGGTACAAAGCAAATTAGGCAAATGCAGTCTCAACTAGGAACTTATAAGTGTTTATATATATGAGTAAACCTGTTGTTAACATGGAGTCTTATTTTAACTGACTAGTGGAATCACTTAAGGCTTAAAAATAGAGGATGCTCATCTTGTCCTTTGTACTGCATGTGATTCACATTTGTATGCTCCCCAAAACTTTGACAGTGCTTGAGCAGCCAAGATAGACATAGTTAAAAGTGTGGAGAGTTCCTTTTATTTATCTAATATGAAACATGGATGAACCTGGTTTTTAATTGCATGCTGATTTGTAGTGTAAGATTTGCTAAGAAAGCAAATAATACAATGAAATCAAGAATACTTCTGATTACATTTACATTAACAGATTGTTTTGTAGGAAGCAGATAAAGCCTCAAAGCATGCTGTTCAAGTAAGTGCTTTGTTAATGGCAGTAAGAATTGTCTTATGGGAAAATCATTATGAACAGGTAGTCCCAAAAGTGAGCCAGAATCCTTGTCACCAGATATATTTTAGTATCATTATGCTTTCTTTTTTATCTGCTTTTGTGCAATAAAACAATTCTTCTGACAATATTTGTGTAAATACTCTAAAATTAGCTGACTGTGTACAGCATGGATAAGGCGTGGAGTGTGTGCTGAATAAATGAAAAGAGAATGGACATGGTGGTGGGAGCCAGGGAACTCCCAAATGTCTGCTCCCAACCGGGTTCCTGACTGAGGTCAAGAAGGCATTTGAACTTTCAGAATCTTAGTTATCTATAAACTGAGTGGATGGGAAAATGTTTTCTAAGACCCCTAAGGACTTGAAAGTCCATAATTTAAAACTCCACTTTTACAGCCAAAAAGCCTGGCATGTAGAGGTCATTTGAAATATCTGTTAATTAAACAAAAAGAAAATAAACGTAAGTTGAGATTTCAAATGTGAGTAAAATATCACAAGTCAAGGAAAATCTTATTTTTATCTTTATTGTGTCCTGATGGTTTGGTTTCCAAGACTATAATTATAAATGAGGGGTGATTACATTTTTTTTCATGAGGTCTCTTTCACTGTTGAAACCTCTTTCTATATGGCCATGTAATGACAGATAAAAGGTTAATGTCAATCAGCAAAAGATAAATAATCTAAGAACAGTGGGCAACAACAAATGGGCAAAAGAATAGGCAGCTCTTAGAAGAAATTCAGAGATTAAATAAATATTTAAATATCCAACCAACCTCAATATTAAAGAAATACAAAGTAAACTAATACTAAAATATTTTCAGGTATTTGATGATAAAGACATTGATGACACCCAGTGCTAGGATGTGGGGAAGCAGAAACTCTTATACTCTTCTGGTGGGAGCCTGACTTAAAAAGCATGTATCGGGGCGCCTGGGTGGCGCAGTCGGTTAAGCGTCCGACTTCAGCCAGGTCACGATCTCGCGGTCCGGGAGTTCGAGCCCCGCGTCGGGCTCTGGGCTGATGGCTCAGAGCCTGGAGCCTGTTTCCGATTCTGTGTCTCCCTCTCTCTCTGCCCCTCCCCCGTTCATGCTCTGTCTCTCTCTGTCCCAAAAATAAATAAACGTTGAAAAAAAAAAAAAAGCATGT